TCTCTATTTCCTGAGCACTGCGACCCCGAGCAGAACCCGCCGCCACCACGTACCGTCACGGTACCGTCCGTGCAAGGGTGCGAGCAACCCCTTGATCGCTCGGTAGGCCCTTTGGGCAGCAAGGCACCTACTGCACCTCCTCCTCTTGGTCCACCCTCCGTTGCTGATTCGGCGCCCGTAGGACCAAAGGATGGTCCTCTGGAGGTTGGCACCAGCATGGCTGATCACGAGGAGAGAGAAGGAGAAGTAGCAGTGGATGAGCAATCACCAATGACCCATGAGCATGAGCCTACACCTGCAGTTCCCCCCCCATCCAGCCCATTCCACCACCCCCACGTCGCTCCAGCAGGCCTAACAAGGGGGTGCCACCCGTACGGTTTCAGCCATCAGCCATGACGGCCCAGGACGCGGACGATGAGGACAACTCGTACGACGTGGCGTACCTTGCTGAGGACGATTGCGATACGGACAACGATGACGAAGTGGAGTACCCGGACGAGGATGAGGAGGAGGAAGGCTCTTGGGGAGGTGTCATCATCGACCTGGCAGCTGCGTTGACCGGACCCGAAGGCAAGGAATGGTGGGCCGCTATGAAGGAGGAGATGGAGAGCCTTGATGAGCAAGGCACTTGGACGTTGGCTGACCTACCTGAAGGTCGCAAAACCGTCGGCGTCAAGTGGCTGCTAAAGAAAAAGTTGCGGCCTGATGGCACCGTGGAAAAGTACAAGGCCAGGCTTGTGGCTAAGGGCTTTAGCCAGCGCTTCGGCATCGACTACGACGACACTTACGCTCCTGTTGGCAGCTACACCACCGTTCGCGTGCTCCTCTCAATCGCAGTAGCTATGGACCTGGATTTGCTGCAGCTTCATGTGAAGAATGCATTTCTTCACGGCACTATCGACCACAAGATCTACATGCAGCAGCCGCCCTACTTCACCGACGGTAGCAGCAAGGTGTGTCTCCTGTAGAAGAGCCTTTACGGGCTAAAGCAGAGTCCCTTCTGTGGTACAAGGAGCTGGACAAGGTGGTCCTTGTGGAGGGGTACAAGAAGAGCCTTGTGGACCAGGCCCTATACTACAAGGATGGGGCAAGCGGGAAGCGTGTGTGGCTGTAATCTACGTGGATGACCTGCTAGCGGCAAATGAAGACCAACAGCTGCTGCAGGACCTAAAGGGGCGGCTGGCCAAGGCGTTTCAGCTCCGTGAGGTGGAGCCAGTGGAGCGCTACCTGGGGCTGCAGATTGTGCGCGACCGCTCCAACAGGACACTCCTCTTGCACCAGAATGCGTACGTGGCGAAGGTGCAGCAGCTGTTCTTCAAGGGGGCGCCACCGAAGAAGCAGCCAATCACTCCTCTCTCCATTGCCAAGTTTGCCAAGCAGGATGCCGGGCAGTTCGCCAACCGTACTATGACAGAGTACTTGTCAATTCTCGGCATGGTGCAGTTTGCAGCCATCTCAACCCGTCCTGACCTCTCTTTTGCATGCAGTCGCCTTGCAGCAGGTGCACACCTCAGGACGGATGCACATTGGCATGAGCTCTTCCGTACATTCTCCTACTGGGCTGCCTCAACGGACATGGGGCTGCTGTTCAAGGGAGGACCAGAGAGTTTGACTCTCGTGGGTTATGCGGATGTGGAGTCTGACTTACGGAGGGAGATGAGGTTGGCCTTGAGATCAGGAACGAGGAGAACGTCGTGCAGCACCACCGGCTTGCCATCCGCTCCCTTAAACGCAGCTCGTCCCGCACCAGCCACCTTCAGCGCGTGTCCAAGGGCAGAGCACACCTCATTGATCGGTTCAGCGCCTACGTCGTCCAGCAGGTCCTTGCGCGGCGTCATCGTCCAAGCAGCGCCCGTGTCCAACACCCAATAGTTCAGGGGGTGCAGCTCTGCTCCAACCTTGGCAGAGGCGTCTCCTTGCTCCCCCTGCTCTCCAATATGGAAGAACTGGCCCGCGGTGCGCTCCTTCTTCTTCTCTGCACCGCCGTTGCTCTTCGGGTTGTTGTCGGACGAATTGGCGACCATTCTCGCGCCGTTTTTCTTCCTCCACGCGCCGCCATCCTGGTGACGATTCTGGGGTGTCCATCCATCGGGTTTCTTATAGCACAAAAACCAGGGACGCCCCTCCTTCTCACAATACCAGCAACTCCCTTTCATTTTGCCACCAGCACCCGACTTGCCCCGACGTCCAGATTTCGCACTGCGACCCCAACCGGTACCTCCTTGTTGGTCGTTGGAGTCATCGTCCTTCTTTGCACCGCGTCCAGCACCACCGAAGCTACGTCCTCTGCCACGTCGGCTCCTTTGCATCCCATAGCGGCTGCTGCCGTCGTCTCCACCCCTTAGTTGGCGGCGACGGAAGTCCTCCGGAATCTTCGTCCGCACCCACTCGAGTGTCCACGAGCTCTGGTTCTGCGGCAGGCTTAATCCGCTGGTGAATTGAAGCCATGATTCCGGCAGCAGCGAGAGTATCTTCAAGCACTTGGTCTGCTCCGGGTAGGTGATTCCAGCGGTCGCCAACTTCGCGTAGAGGTCGCGCATCTTGTCCAGGGCAGGTTGCACTGGCTCTCCCTCGCTCAGGCGCGACGCGGATAGCTCCCTCTCCAGCATCAACGTTGCAACAACGGAGGTCGGGGCGTGCAGCTCCTTCAACATGGTCCACGCCTTCGGACCGCACTCAACCTCCGGCAGCAGGTGCATGATGTGGTGACGCTGGTTCAGCTCCAAACTCTGTGACATCAAATCGTAGCCAGCCGAGGAGCGCTCGTCCCGATCTTCCTGCAGCGCGGGGTCACTCGGTCTAGGCTCCTCCCCATTAGTTTTAGCAATCCAATCTGACGGAAATACAGTTGCATTTTCCAAGCCCAATCATCATAGCCCTCACCATTGAACTTCTCGACGGTGAAGTTCTTCAGCACCTCCTTGACCAGCGAGCCCTGGTTTGTTCACGCTCCCCTTAGCGCTGAAACACCAGAATCTTGGCTGCCGCTACGATCTTGGGCTGAAGATTCACCAGCTCCCGTCGAGGTGTTGCGCGCCATACCTATAACGAGGATCACAATAACGCAGCTCTGATACCAGCTTGTTGGTGTAAGGGCCTAATAAACTCAAGCTACTAAGACTTTATCAAGCTTAAAACCTCTCCTCGGGGTCACCTCCAAGGGTCCTTGGGTGCCTGGTACAAGACCAGCCCCTATCCTCGGGTCCGAGTTTGTAGAGAGAGGGATCAAGAATGACTTAGTCAAAATAGCAAGAGCACCTTGAACGTCGCGCAACGTATCTTGCAGACTGTCGATCGGATTAAGCCGGGACTTTGCTATATCGAAGCTCGCTCCAAGAGCTTTAAAATGAGCCAAGTTGCCTCGTGAAATGTTCTGCCATTACGGAGTTAACGCTCATACAACGTTTGCCTAGCAGTGGGGCGCTAGCATACTAGCATTGACTCGGATAGCATTCCGCCATCGCACCGCGTAGAAACGAAATTCCAGCAAGGAAGGAATTCGCTTGAATCAATTTCACTATATCGAGGTACAAACAGAGAAGGAATATATAGTTCTAGCTAGCAAGGACCTTGGGAATCAACCTGGGAACAACCAGGGATGATCCCAAATAATTTCAAGCAACAGAACCAACCTGGCTGGACAAAACAGCAGGTGGTAGGTTGGTAAACAACCTCTGGTTCTGTTTTTCCAACCTGAGAAAACAACAACCAGGTTAAGGTCCTAACAGAACCTGTTTTGTCTTTGCCCAACCAGCCGAATGCTGGTTCCGCTGGTTTCCCCTGGCCGTGTAGCATGCAGATACAGACAAACAACATCCAACCTTCACCTATTGTACCCCTATAGTGCCTGCCCTGCTACACTATAGTCAACCAAACAAGACAGTACAATTTCGAGTTGGATAGAACTGAATCTGCGCAATCAAGTAAGCCGAACCGTAAAGCTTCCATCTTGGGTTCCTTTGCGAGCTCGTCCTTTCTACTTGTACTGTTCATAGGGCGTACAATGTTGAGCCGAAGCGCACAATGCGCGGATACCTGCAAATGCTTCAAGCGAAAATTGCGAAAGCAAACAAACACAGGAACGCACCATTCACACGCAAAATACATTTGCACACGCATACTCGTACAAACAGATGGCAGGATGTCGTGCAATGTGAATTTGCACCCAACAACAACCAGCAGACTTCTTCACGAAGCGGCTCGACAAGGCAGCCTTCAACCGATGCTCTGCAGTAGCCGGACTGGTCCAGCGTGCTCCTGACAGCAAGGGGGCGTGTTAGAAGGAAATGCTGCTATGAGCAACAAAATGTCTGCGCTGGGATTTGAACTCGTGACCTTCAAATCTGTCCTGAAAGTGTCCCAGGACAGATTCAGGATAGTTTTTGCTAAGGCACTGGTTATGGTGCACACGAGTTTCGAACTGGAGACCTTTCGATTCAAGTGTCCAGAAAGTGTCTAGTCAGGACAGATTGGGGACACTTTGGGGACACATTGGGGACAGTTTGGCGAAATCGATCTCGGGTCGCGTTCGGTTTGAAACTCGGCAGCAAAGTGTCGAAGTCAACGGAATTTGCACGGGAGTTACAGCCGGTGGTCGATGGAATTCTGGTCGCGGAAATTCTCGTCTACGGAATTCAAGTCAATGAAATTCGCTCGGCAAAATTGAAGGCTCCGAATTTCGCGTCAACAAAATTCAACGTGCGACCCGGGTCGACACTTTCTTGTGTGCTTTTATTTTGTATTGCATCCTAGTACAAAACCAGAGAGCACAAACCAGAAATCAACCAAGTCACTATCAGTGCTATGTTTGTGTGTATCTTTGGCTATAGTGGACCATTTCCTGCAATCTTTGGTGCGTTGAGATCTTGCTTTTGAGCTCTATCAAGCTGCTATAGTAGTGAAATTCTACAAGAGGCGCATGCGAATGAGAATGAGAATGAATCACTTGACAGCCGCATGGAATGAGGCGTGACGAGGAGATGTGACAAGAAACAAGCTGACTATATCACTAGGACGTTGCAAGCATTGAAGAAGATGCACTCAACCTGCACACCCCTCCACCCTCCCCGGTCCGCACCCAACATACGCTCCAGCTTCTTGACGGCCTCCCTGCGTGCCGCCAGGCCGGCCCTCATCTCCCCCACGCGCGTTTGCAGCACCTTCACCGCCTCCTTGCTGCGCGCCTTGCCCGCCCCCCACACGTCCATGCCCACCAACCCACTCAGCTCCGCCTGGCGGGCTGGCAGAGGTGCATGAAAGGGATGCAGGGAGGGGTGAGAGAGGGCTCATGGAGAGGTGCAGAAGGAGAGATGCAGGGGAGCAAGAATGAGGGAGATGGGAGGGGCGTGGAAGTGGATTGAGTGGCGAGGGTGGGGGCACATGTGGGACGTGTGGGTGAGTCATAGATTGGAATGGGCAGGAGCGGATGGAAGTGGGGGGAGAGGAAGCATGCAAGGGACGAGCAGAACGTAGAGACGAGAAAGCATAGGAAGGAGGGACAAAGGGAAGGAGTAGAGAGGAGAGAAGAAGGCGGAAATGGACAAGGGGGGAGTGCAGGGAGATAAAGAGTGCGAGGGGAGAGGGGGAGTGGGCGGGGATGCCTTGAAGTCGGCGTCGTTGGCTTCGAGCAGTGCGGCGGTGGAGTGCTGGCCGAAGAAGACGGTGAGGGAGAGGAGAGACGTGTCCCTGTAGCTCATGCGCATGCACAGAGGTGCCGTCACATGCACACCCATGCACAAACATGCACACCCATGCATACACATGCACGCACATAGGCACACACACGCACAGATACATGCACACAGACATGCACGCACACATGCAAGCACACATGCACACACGCATGCACAGACGCATGCACGCACCCATGCACACGCATGCACACACACATGCACGCACACATGCACACACACTTGCACGTTGCATGCACAGACACATGTACACACACATGCACACACGCATGCACACACACACATGCAGACATACACACATGCACATAGGTGCATCACATAACAGAGATGGCACTAGAGCAAGCATGCGCACATGACACCACAGCAGCGCACATAAGCTCACATGAGGGCATCGATCCGGTCCTGTGTGAGTCGGATCTCCTGGCAAGTCTGGTCCTCCCCCTCCCCCTCCACCTCCAACCGCAATGCCGACCGCCGCCTGGAGGGTCACAAGATGAGGGGCGCACAGGGTGGAGGAAGCGGGGATGAGGGCAGAAGGGGAAAAGGTTTTGTGAGGGAAAGTGGGTAGAAGAGGCAAAGTTCTGCGATGGAGTGTGGAATGAGAAGCGAGGAGGATAAAACAGCGGTGGACATGCCATCATGGCGCTGCCTCGTTACGCCAACACAGCAACACGATCCCGCGCGCAGCGAGGGGGTAGGAGGTGGGGGGAGGGGCGGGTCACAGGCGGAGGCACGTGATTGAGAATAGAGGAAGAATGAATGGGAGTGGAGCGAGGAGAACAGGTGTGTGAGGAAGGACAATGAAGGTGGAAAGGGAAGAGGAAGGCGTACGGAGGAATTTGGGAGCCGCTCCAGCTCCGGCAGCACCTCCAGCTCCAGCAGCTCCAGCTCCTCCAGCAGCTCCAGCACCAGCAGTACCTCCAGCAGCTCCAGCTCCAGCAGCACCTCGCTGGAGTCTCCAGCGACGAGCAAACTACTCGCGCAGCTGCGGTGGAGAGAGAGGCTCCCGCCGAGACGAGGCACCTGCAGGAACTCCAGCAGACTCAGCACCCCCAGTCTCAGCAACCGCAGGCTCAGGACCCTCAGGCTCAGCACCTCTAGGCTCAGCACCCCCAGGCTCAGCACCCCCAGGCTCCGCACCCTCAGACTCAGCAAGCCTGGGCTCAGCACCCCCAGGCTCCCCACCCTCAGCAACCCCAGGCTCAGCGCCCCCAGACTCCACAAGCTCAGGCTCAGCACCCCCAGGCCCCGCATGCTCAGGCTCAGCACCCCCAGCAGCACCACCAGAGTCAACCGCTACCTCGACACGCTTGACATCGTCTACCTAGGACACACCTGAGGAAGCAGGACCCTGAGGGGGGAGGGGGTCTACCGGAGGAGGACCAGGGGCAAGGAAGAGCGGCGAGGGGGGGGGGGGGGAGAGAGGCAGTGCGGTAGGGGAAGAGACGGTAAAAGGGAACCGATTCGTTGAACGTGACGTCCTGAGAGGGCAGCCAGGCGCGTCAGGGACAAAGCCAAGGAAGATGCAGGGAATAGCACGGGCAAAAAGCTTGTCCGCGGTAGTATAACGGACAAAGGCACGAGAACCCCAGACCCGAAACACGGACGCATCGCCAACCTTCCCCGTCCAACGCAGTATGGGCGAGGTCTCCGGCAAGGAGACACGGGGCCAGAAGTTGAGCTGATGTGCAGCGTAACGGACCGCAAACGGCCACAGAAAATGGGGGGCAGCCGCATGGACCATGGAGGTACGAGCGACCTCCATGACTAAGCCAATGCGGTGCTCAGCAATCCCATTCTGCTGCGGTGAGGCCGGGAGCGTGAACGTCTGGCGAATGCCCTTCCCACGACAAAAGTCCCGCAGAAAGTCAGAGGCAAACTCACCACCTCTGTCAGAGTGCAGACACAGGACGGGAAAGTCCATGCGGATCCAAGGGATCAGAACATCAGGGACCTCACCCTTGGTGCGCAAGGGGAAGACCGTGGTGTAACGCGTGTAGTCGTCAACGACCAGCAAAAAGTACCGCTCGCGGTCCTGTCCACGAACGCGGGCTAGGCCCCACACGTCCATGTGGAGGGTCTGTAGGGGAGCAGTCGTCGGGGGAAACAAGGAGTGAGGAGCGGCGCGCTGCCGCCCCTCGACACAGGGAAGACAGGGAGGAGCAGGCAAGGGTGGGAGGGGAGGGAGAACTCTGGGAAGACCAGAGACAAGGACACGGCGGTGCATGCCACGAAGGCGCTGCACCGAGGGGTGACCAAGACGGTGGTGCCAAAGGACGGTCTTGTGCGACAAAGCGCGACACGAGCAGGGGGCCGCTAGCTGACCTGACGCAGACGCAGACGCAGCTACCTGGGGGGGCACAGTAGTCAGTGTGTACAGACTAGAGCCAGGCGCACGGGTAAACGTGGCCAGGTGCCGGCCCGTCTGGGAGCACGAACAGTGGGTCACACGCTGACCTTCAGGAGTGAACTGGTCAACCCACGCATCCTGGAGGTCAGCTCCACTCACCAAGTTCGTAGAGAACGAGGGGAGGTGAAGACCCGACAGTGAGCTAGACGGGACCGCCGGACACGGCAGGACGGTGGAGGAGTGCGCAAGGACTGGGCCCCCAGAGGGGTCTGCCAGAGAGACTGCAACCGGCCGACTGAGCGGCGTGAGTGTGGTGCTGTCGCAAAAGAAGGAGAGGGAAGCACCTGAGTCAAGTGTGAAGGTGTGCAAGGCCTCAGCAGGCGCAGTACCAGAGAGAGCAGACTCACCAGCACCTAGAGCAGCAGACTCACTAGCGCCTAGAGCAGCAGCCTCACCAGCACCTAGAGCAGCAGACTCACCAGCACCTAGAGCAGCAGACTCTATACCTGGGTCCGGCGGCGTGCACAGGTAACAGTCACCCTCAGCACTAACAGGCAATGCATACATGGCAAATAGAATAGCATCAAAGTCCAGTGCAAAGATATCCACTCTTTGCCTCAGCAGCTCCACCCAACTGGGGAGCTCAGCCTCGTCATCAAACTCTGTACGCCAGGCATCGCTCAGAGAGGCAAAGCAGCGGGGCTGTGTGTGACCTATCGTCCCGCAAGTCTGACCACCCCGATCACCTGTGCGAATGACGTACGGGCAGCGAGCAGTACTCCGAGACCCTCTACTCTGAGCGTACCACTCACGCAGCTGCAGGGGCGTAAGGGTCTCGCGCGGACGTCGCTGGAGCTGTATCTGGCCACCGCCAGTAACTCCCCACCGAGCTGCTCCGCCTAGATTGCCACTGCTGCCGCTGCCACCACTCCCACTGCTGCCACCACTCCCACTGCTGCCACCACTGCCGCCACCACTCCCATGGCTACCACGAAGAGACGCCATAGCGGAAAGGCACGGCGGCGAACAGGTACTAGGGTAGGGCGAGGCGGCGCACCGTCAGTGAAGGGCGGCGCGCGGCCAGAGTAGGGCGGCGTGCGGGCAGAGGAGGGCAGTGTGCGTGCTGCAGATGGTGGCGCGCGGCCAGAGTAGGGCGGCGTGCGGGCATAGGAGGGCAGCGTGCCGGCTGCAGATGGCGGCGCGCGTGCTGTCAGGGTGGACGTGACGGGCAGGGGCAGGGCGGAGCGCGGGCAGCAGGACGGCGCGCTGGCCCTAGGGCGACGCGACGGGTAGGGCAGTGGCGGCGCGTGGGCCCCAGGGCGACGTGACGGGCAGGGCACGGGCGGCGCGCGGGCCCTAGGGCGACGCGACGGGCAGGGCAGAGGCGGCGCGCATGCCCTAGGGTGACGCGACGGGCAGGGCAGGGGCGACGTGCGGGCCCTAGGGCGATGTGACGGGCAGGACAGGTCGTCGTGCGGGTCCTAGGGCAACGCGACGGCCAGGGCAGGGCGCAGCGGCGCGGGTAGGGTAGGTGCTCACCAGGGGCGGGGAGGGCAGGTGCCACCGACGGCGGGTGGGGCAGGCACGCGACTGGCGGCTGCAGGGTAGGGCCACGACGAGGCGGCTGCAGGTCAGGGCCACGACGGGGCGGCGGTGCAGCAGGGCCGCGACGAGCGGCTGAGGGCAGGGCCGCGACAGGTGGCGGCAGGGCAGGGCCGCGACAGGTGGCGGTAGGGTAGGGCCGCGACGGGCGGCGAGGTCAGGGCCGCGACTGGCGGCGGGTCAGGCCGCGACGTGGGGCGGCAAGGCAGGGCCGCGACGGGCGTCTAGGTCAAGGCCGCGATGGGCCGTTAGGGCAGAGCCGCGACGGGCCGGTAGGGCAGGTCAGCTACGGGCGGCAGTAGGGCAGGGCGCGCTATGGCGCAGGTGAGGCAGGCGCGAGGCGCGCTTCGGGCAGGGCAGGAAAAATCGTGGTGGGCCCTAAAAAAAACACGTTCCCACTAGGGAACCTGCTTTGAAACCATGTGAAAGATAGAACAAGGAATGATTGCATTGAGCAGCATGAGGAGTACAAGTAGGAAACCCTAAAGTGTTGTATCCCATATGAACTACCCCACTACAGCCTACACAGACTATAGCATATAAGTTTGACATCTCGTTCTGCCGATTGTAATCGAGTCGCAAACATATCGGTATAGGGTCACGAATCTGATTCTCGCGCAGCTTGGCAGGTAGTGATTCCCTGCCAACTCATACTGACAGAATGACAGCACATGCTGACTAGACGCGCAAGAAGTGAGATCAGAGTGTGGGAAACTGTAAAAAAATAATATTTTCCTTACTTCGCGTCCCTGCTCAGCACGTACGGTACACCAGTGTTCCCGCAAACAGCACCCAACAGTAATCCATTACCACTCGCGACATTCGCCTCGACACTTTTCCCGCCACTGTTCACGACGCGACCCAACCTCACGGTTCGGTTGGTAACCCGCGCTGCGGACCTCCGCCTCGTCATTTCCCAACCTCGGCGCCAGGCCCGTCGCGCACCCCATTTTCACGCATTACCGTTACCACTGTAGTTTCGCTATATATTCTTCGGTCATGCCTTCGCTCATTGTACTCTTGCTTCGATAGTGCAATTCTTGTTCGTTCGCTCAATTGCACTCATAACACTTGATATTCAGGGCCTACGATCTCTTCTCGGACCGCACTCACACCTTCGCTTCCCCACTATCTCTTTTTTTTTTGGGGGGGTAGACGTCTCTCAGCGAAACAAGCATCGCCGCTCGTAGTGCTCTCTTGTAAGCGTGCACGGCCACGACAGAGGCTCTCGCTGAGCTTGCCCGACACCCCCCCCCATGGCTGAATTCACTCTTGCGACACTGACGCAAGAGCAACTCGACCGTCTCGTGCGCCAAATCGAAGACTCGGTGCTCGAAATTGCGACACTCTCGGCGGAACGCGACTCCGCTCGTCAGCAATCCACGGTGAATGCTCCAGCGCCACCGCACGCACGTGCAAATGCACCCGCACAATTGGAGGAGCTGATCGTCATTTCAGCAGGCACACCGACACAAATCGACAGCGTGGGACAGCGCTCAGGCGCAGCCAGTGATGACGCCGCTCAATCGATGCCTGGCATGGAGAGGAACAGGGCCGCGCCAAGCCCGCGGGAGCCTCGCGAAGCCCGTCGGCACGTGGAGTTTGCGGCGACAAGTGGCGACCACGCCATCATGCCACTTAAGCTGCAGCGCCTGCCGTGTTTTGACCTGAGCCAGCGTGGAGGTCCGA